GCCTCTTTACTTCTGAAAGCCCCCCAGCCCGGGGTCTGCCTGGGATCTGCAGCCCGGAGGCACAGGAGTGGAAATGAAGGGGCCCCCAAAACAGCCCGTCCTCCCTGCCCCGCCAGACCCCGGGGATACTCACTCTTCATATTCTTCCACTGCCTCTTCTGTGTCAGACATGGTCTCTGCGGCCCCTCCAGAAAGAGAGGAACGTTAGTGGGGGCGGACGAAGAGGCCCATCCTACCTCTCTGAGAAGGGCCAGCGGTTTAGTGGACAAGCCAGGGAGGCCAGGGGGCAAGGGGGCCCTTATTGACCCCAGGACCTGCAGCAAGGAGCCGCCACCTCCTCTGTCGGGGGATAATAGTACCACCGCCCACCCAGGGCAACCAGCTGACTTCTGTTTCACACCTTGCCCCTGAACAGGCAAGCTGTTTGGAGTTTCTGAGTTCAGGTTCAAAACATTATAACTCCCAAAACAATGTTTCTAAAGTCTCTCAACCTTATAACAGGGGAGCAGAGCCTGCATGAGCCCCCCCATCCATGCAGTCTGACCCCAGAGCTCCCCCGGGGAGAGCGGGGGGCTGTGGTTCGTCCACAGCGCAGAATTCTGCTCTGCAATGAAACGGAACCAGCCCGTGGTACCCGCAACACGGTGGATTAATCTCCAGGGAGTTACTCTCCTTGGGGGAAAAAAGCCAATTCATATGATTCCATTTCTAGAACATTCTTGAAATGGCAAGATCACAGCAATGGAGAACAAACTGGTGGTCGTTAGGGGTTGTGTGGAGGGTGGGAGGGAGCCCGGTGGTGTTAGGACTCTCAGATATCTTGACGGTGCCGAGGGACACACGTTACAGCTGGATTGAATTTCACACACGGTCTAAGCAGAGTTACAATCAGAGAGAGAGCACGGATTGTGGGCTCGTCTGTAGCCCAGCTGGGATTTACAACATAGTTGTGCAAATGTTACCACTGGGGGAAACTGGCAACCTGTAGGAGGGATCTGTGCCATTTCTCACACCTGCACGTTCATCAACCACTATCTCAATAAAAATTCCAATTAAATAAATCTTCCGTGGGGAACTCGTTTTGAGCTACTCCCCTCGCTGAGACAGGAACAGACAATCGCGGTTCAAATCCTCTTCCACCAGCTTGCTGAGCGTGTTTGGGCAAGTCTTTGTAACATCTCGGAACCTCGGCTCTTTCTCTGTGTTATGGAGATACAGCGTACATATCCTGGCTGCCCAGGGATCTTTATGGACCAAGTTGACACTGAGGAAAGTGGGAGGCGCTAGGCAATGCCAGGTTTTACCGTAATTTCCGTGCAATTACGGGGAGAGGTGGAAATAGCACCCACTTGGGAGAGACTAATCTGGGTTTGAACGTCGGCTCCATCTCACATTTGTGTGTGACCTTGAAAAGGTCACTTAACCTCCCTGTGCCTCAGTTCCCTCCTCTTTGACGTCACTCCTCCTCTGGGTGGCCCTGAGGCTTGGAGCTGGCCCAGAGTAGCATTCCATTAATAACTACAGGATAAGAAACCCTGATCCTTATTCACTTTCTGCGGTTTCAGGTACCCACGGTCAACTGAGGTCCAAAAATATTAAATGGAAAATTCCAGAAAAAACAATTCATGAGTTTTAAATCGCCAGCCATTCTAAATAGCATGATGAAATCGCGCACGTCCTGCTCCGTTCCGCCCGGGCCGTGACTCATCCGTTTGTCCAGCGGATCCACATTGCAGACTTCATCTGCCGTGAGTCACTGAGCAGCCTTCTCGGTTGTCAGAGCGACGGCCACGGTGTCACGGCGCTTTCATTCAAGTAACCCTTATTATACCTAATAATGGCCCCAAGGTGCACGGGTAGTGATGCTGGCAATTCAGATATTCTCTCAATGTGCCTAATTTATAAATTAAACCTTCTCATAAGTACATATATATAGGGAAAACGTAGCCCATACAGGATTCGGTCCTATCTGTGGTGTCAGGCATCCACTGGGATCTTGGAAGTTGTCCTCTGAGGATAAGGGGAGACCACCGTATTCTAACCCAAACCTCCTGGGCCACAGCAGGGCACGGATGCAGGGCCAACACTTGCTTTTGTTCAAATGTGAATAGTGCCCCCTGGAGTTGTGTGACATGAGGGCTGTGCAACCCTCTTGAGGGGCATTGGGGACAAGGTGACATGAGGGGGAGCTGCCAGTGAGGTGGGAGTGGAATGAATGCTGGATGTGACCACCCTCCCTGAGGTTTCCTGTGCCCCTGCCTTCTGTCCCCTGCATCCAGTGCAGAGGCCACCGAGGTCTGACCCAAGCCAGGCGATGACGGGGGTGCAGGACCCCTCACTGCCCTCTCTTCTCCCCGCACATCCCACTGCGGTGGCTGAGACCACCCCAGGCAGCCAGCTGTGGGTGTTCATGGGAGTCCCTGCTCTGGTGGGGTGGAGTGATGTCCTGCTTTGAGGCTGAGGGGTTCTGAAGGAGCCTCTGCTCCAGGCGGAGACCTCCTCAGACCTGGCGCCTGCGGCACCCCCAGGACCAGCTGCCCCTTTGAACCTGTTCCCATCACGTCCAGTCCTGCCGGGTTCCCGGCCTGCGTGGCCGCAGCTGAGCAAGCCCCTCGCTGCTCCCTCTGCTGGAGCCCATGGGTCAGGGAGGGAGGGGCTTGGCTGACACGGAGCTCTGGACAGAAACCCTGAGCCACTTTTTCGCTCCCCTGAGGTCAAGGGCGATGAGCAGAAAAGATGTCAGCTGTGTAAGGTGTCATGACGGGGAATCGAGCCTCATTCTGATGAAGAAGGACTCAGACCCCAGAAGGTCTCCAAGTGGGTCCTCAGGATGTGAGTGGCCAGAGAGAACCTCCCCTAACTCCAGGATGGGGGCGTCTGTGGCAGACACGCACTGCCCGGAGCCCCCAGGAGCAGTCAGAACTAGTGACCTGAGGACTTGGGGAGCTGCTCACAGAGCCCCGGGAGGAGTCTGTCATCTCGGGGAGGAGGGGGAGGTCTCTCAGGGGGATTGTGCATGGCCAGCCTGGGGTGCGAGGTCTCTAGCTTTCTCTCCTCTCCTGCCCCTCCCTCCCACCAGCTCAGACCCCTGGACACTGGGGCTCAGAGGAGGAAGGAGCAGCCTGGAGCCCTCTCCGTGCTCCAGGAGTACCATCCAGCTCCTAAAAATAGTGTGCCAACCACGGAGGGTCAGGGACAGGACACAGCCCAGCCAATCACCAAAGGTAGGACTGATGGAGAGGAAGGCCACAGGCTGAGGCTGGGGGCCGCTGAATGGGAGCCAATCATGAACCCGACAGGCAAGTTTCGAGAATGTCCTAAGGCACCTGTGTCCCCACACCCAAACCCCCACCTGCTTCCACTGACTGCTTTCCAGCCTGACTCCCTCACAGCCAAGAGGTCTGGGTCACCTTGCTCAGGGAGGAAAGCAAAAACAAGAGAAGGCAGAAAGAATACTGGCCATGGGGTCCAAAGATCTGGGTTTAAAAACCCAGTTTTTACTGTGTGACCTCAGTTAAGTCACTCTACCTCTCTGGGCCTCAGATAACCTCTCCATAAAATAGACGAGCTTCACGTTCTAGTCTTGCAGAAACAGTCTCTGAGGAATGTAGGCCCCCTCCCTCAGCCATTGTCCCTGAGGTTCGGCTGGGATTTCCCTAAGCCCGCAGCTGTTGGCCCACCGGGAGAGCCAGCAGACAGGGTACGGGGCAGTGGCCACTGGGGTGGCAGGGAGGGGACAGCGGCAACTTGATCCTCTCAGATTCCTCTTCTGCCCTGAGAGGAGTTGGCTCGGAAGGCACGGGTCAGAGGAGGAATTCAGGAGGTCGGGGGGGGGGGGCTCCCCGCTTCATGTGGCCAAGGCCCGGCATGGGCTTCGAAATTCCTTACACTCCGGGCAACCCCCTCCCCAAAGACGTCTTCAGCCTGCCCCGGAGAAGCTGAAAAACCAAGGGAAGCTTCTCTCTCCGCCCCTCCTGGGCAAAGAGCACGGTCTGTCCCTAGGGGGCGTGTTGGGATGGGTTGGGACACTGGCAGGGGTGGGCAGCTGGAACCCGACGAAGGAGCTGGGTTCACAGCCTGTGAAAGGGTCTCCCCATGAGGTCCCTCCACCGTCACCCCCACCTGCTGCTCAGCGCACGCCCTCTCTGGGCCCGGGAAGGCAGAGGAGCTGCACCCCCCTGCCTGCCTGGGACGGGGGGTCGGTCTCAGTGCTTCCAGGACATTTATGAACTCCTGGACATGAGAACATGGCCTCAAGGACTGTTCCCACTGATAGGACTGCAGTCTCGCTCTGCTCCCTGGGGATCAAGAAGGACCCGCCCGGAAAGCTTCAGGGGGCCTGGAGATGAGACGAGGGGAGGGACGGAGCGACTTGGGGGAGCCCCTGTCGGTCAGAGCTTCATCATATTTAGAGCAGACAATTTAGAGGCACAGCAATTACCTAGTCCGTCCGACTGATGAGGACACTGAGGCCCCGGGAGGGACTTTCCAAGTGCACGGTACCTTTTGTGGCAGATCCAGGACTCCAGCCCAGGTCTGCGATCTGACACGGGCCCCTGCGGCTCTAGGCACTGGCCCTGGAGCCCAGCCCGGCAGGACCCCCTCAGCAGCACCGCCTCCTCTCGGAGAGTGGACCTCCCTGGACGCCAACGTCCACTCCGAGGGGACGTGGGCTGCCTCCGGATGAAGCTGCCGGGCCGCAGGACGCCTTGCCTTCACGCTCAGCTCTCCCCTCGCTAGAGTCTTACCTCAGAACGGGCGCTGCTGGTGACCCCAAGGTGCACGCTCAGCCTCGGCCGGGACTGCGCGAGGGCAGGCGTGGTGAGGACTTTAAGCGGGCGTGCGGGCTGGGGCCCTGTGAGCCCAGCCCCGCGGTGGGAGGAATGTGCAGCAGGAGACACGGCCGGGGGGTGGGGGTGTCACCTGCTATTTTGGCAGGTGCCAGGGACAGGGCTAAAGGGACATGTACCCCACGCCATATAAGCCCATGTGGTCGTCCAGTTGCTCAGATAAGCTATTTAAAACCAGAACAGATATGCGGGGAACAGAGGAGAGAGCAGGCATGTAACAGAAACCAGCTGTCCCTCTCGAGAATCCCGATAAAGCGGATGCCAGCGGCCCAGGCCCGGGAGGGGCGGGGCAGCAGGCTGGGAGCCAGGGTTGGGGGCAGAGGTGACCTCTGACATCCTCCCTGAGTGTCTGGGCCGGGGGTCGCAGGCTAGGGTGGACATTAGGTCCATCTGCAGCTCCCCTAGAAGATGCCATGGGTAGGGCCATCTTCCAGCTCCTGGCTGTTCTAAGGGGTGGGTGGCCTGGATCATACGCACGCTCTGCGGGCTCAGCGAGGTCACCTACACACTGGGTCTCCTCCACGAGCCCCAAGCCATGTGACAAGCCCTCCTCACTGGGGAGGGCCTGAAACAGCTACAGGAGGTCAGAGACAAGGTGGAACTTCCAGCGAGAATGATGGTTGTCCTCGGGCAGGCAGCCAGGCGGTGTGAGGGGCCGTGAGGACTGTCAAAGTTCATTCCCCGAGGGCTTTCCGGTTAAGCAAGACAAGGACCGTGATGTGCTGGACCTACTGGCCTGTAAGATCCCTAAGGCCAGGGCCCAGGGGTTTCCTCCTTCTCGGCCCCTAGCGCAGCCCCGGGACATTCCAGGGCTCAGGGCATGACGCCGACGAAAGGCAGGAGAAAGCAAGTCCGGTGGCAGCTGGGCTGACTCTCCCCCTTGAGCCCCCTGAATCTTCTAGGTCCCCGTCCTGCCTGACTCTGGAGACCACTGCTCCCCGTGTGCCCTGGAGCCCTGAACCCCTGGCCCTCCCAGATGGTACCCATCAGTGATGGACACTCTGCTCTGTGGACGGAAAGTCAGTCTCCCCCATTCGCTGCCTCCTCCTCTCCCCTCTCCTGACCACGCGCAGCCTCCCGGTCCCCAGACTCCTCTCTCAACCCTGCGGCCTTGAGTTCCCACGCCGCGTCGGCCACCGATGTCCTTGAAAGAGTCCTCTGCACTCGGGACTTCCACCTGCTCCTCACCCGCTCTGCCATCCTCTCCTGCCCCATCACTCAGCTGAAATTGTCCCCACCGTGGTCCCCGGCAGCCTCTGAGCCCATTGGCCTGATTCCCCACCTCCCGGCTTATCCCCTGCCATGTGGTCCTGTGTGCTGCCAGCAGATGAGTGGCAGGTCAAGCCAAAGCCACATGCTTGACAGCCAGCATCCCAGCAGAGAGGGAGACCATGGGGAGAGAGAGAGGCAGAGGGATGCAGGTGGAGGGAGCAGACCCACAGAGGAACGGGGAGCAACCAGGCTGCCCGAGGGAGACGGAGGAGAACCCTTCACCCCGCTCTGGCCCACCAGGGCCCAGCCTCGCTGGGCGTCCTGGCCCAGAATCCCCCAGGACTTAGGAATTGCTTTTCCTAAATTGTCCCTTACCCTGAGCTCCTTCCTGTGGGTTACTGGTTCTTATAAGCCCAACGGTCCCTCGAACAGGCCATAACTCATTCGCAGGAATGCCTGGAAGAGGGATCAAAGCGATGAAACCCCACAGAGCCCCGGGGAAATACCCGGGATGTTCTGGGCATCCAGGGACTAACCTGCGAGGCAGTACTAACCGTTCCGAGGCCAGGATTTAACTCAGAGAGCTGGGAGACAAGCACTCAGCTGGGGAGAAGGTCCAGCCACCCTCCGGCAGCCAGACGTTGACATGATGGCTGCTCCCGACCCGTCGCGGATGCCCCCGTCCTTGCAAATAGACGTGAAGTCACTGCCTGGTATAACAACAGACAGGAAGAGAAAGCAGAGACGATGCTGATCCAGAATCGTACTGGAAGGGTGCTTGCAAATTTGAGGACCCACGGAGGACAGACCATTTGTGAGGTCCAGGGCCGCTGGGGCAGGAAAGCAGGAAGGAGGGGCAACAGGTGGGTGGGTGGGTCAGGGGACCTGTTCTGTCTCCAGAGGGCGCTCAAAGTCACCTCCTCCAAGAGGCCCCCCCTGCCCACCTCCCCGCCCTGGTCACCACCACACTGCACCTGATCCTGGGGGAGCATCTCTTCCGCTCCTTGTTTATCGGCATCTCCACCCCAGGAGTGAGCACATGGCCCTGGGGTGTGGGATGTGGGATGCAAACAGACGGGGCATGGGGTCATGTCCCTCAGGGCTTTGCCCAGCAGCCTGTCCTCGATGGGCACCCCAGGGAGGGGGGTTGCCAGAGCGAAGGGCCCCGCCCTCTGGAGGCAGCAGCTGCCAGGACATCACAGACGCCCAGGACCACGGTGGCCACTGGGGCCCCCACTCCAGAGGAAGGCCTCTAGGAACCCCTCCTAAGAAAGTCTGTGCGCTAAAGAATTCACCTGCCGGGAACTTCCCAAAGTTCGAAACCTGAGCACGCAAAGCCGAGTTCCCAGCTGGGCCAGATCAGGGCAGGTCCTGAGTCTCTGGGCACTGCCCACCCCATCCTGCTCCCCCACCCGGCTTGGTCCTCAGCCTCTTGAGTTGGAACTCTCGCCAAAGCTCCGGGCCTGACAGTGATGGGTGGTGCTCAGGGTGGGGCCGCCAGGTCCCCCACCCCAGCTCAGGGCTGGCCTGGGATCAGCCGCGGAGACCCACCGCTGGGCACGGGAGGGGTTGGGAGTGACCCACAGCCTGGGGTCACTGGGAGGTCTGCCCTGACGAGGGTCGGAAGGCCTTCTGACCCCCAGACCACAGGATCCGAGATGGGATCCCGTGCTCACAGAGGCTGGGACGAGGCCGGCTGCCCTTGGCTGGTGGCTCCTGCCCCACAGACTTGGGGACCTGAGGCCTCCTGATGCCCTTACGGACCATGTTCTGAGAAGCCCTGCAGTTTGCCGGGCACACCTGGGGCAGGGGACAAAGGGCACAAGGGGATGTGGGCAGGCCCTGCACCCGTGCTCCCACCAGCTGGTCCTGCGTGAACCAGAGCAGTTAGGAGTAATGGTTCTAATGAAGTGCTAATGAGCCAGATTTGGGGAGAATGTGTGTTGGGGGGGTGTGGCAGCAGGCCTGGCACAGATGTGGCAGTTCTGGCCATGCCCCCACCCCAGTCACTATGCTAAGACAACTGGGAGGCCATCCACTTTCATGTGAGAAGAACAGGGGGCGGCTAGGAAAATGATGACTGACTCCCTCTCTCCCAACCAAAAAACTCTCCCCACACACGGCAGATGATCCCAGATAAAAAGCGAAGCCTCCAGGAATGAATCCACTTTTAAGGCATTCTTAGTCACTTATACCTGAGAGTGAAGGAGTTTATTAGATCTTTCCTGAGAAGAGGTTTTTCAGAGAGCGAGTAGGGTGGGTTGGGGTGGGGCAAAAAAAAGGCACTGAGCTGCCAGCCAGAGAAGGGACAGGTGGGGCCCGTGGAAGACAGGCCAGCTCCTTCATAGTCTGGCGGCGTGGGTCTCTGCAAGCTGGGGGCAGAGATGTCACAGGCACGTGGAGGCACCTGCTGGGAGCAGGGCAGACAGGTGGCCCTGGAGTTCTCGAGAGATCGTGCCGCCTGGACTCTGGAAGTGAGCGGCTTTAGGAGCCGTCTCTGGACGGGATGCTGAGCCCCCTAGTGCTGACAGGAGCCCATGCTGTGCCCGGGCTGTGCCGGATTCCAGGATCTGCTATGCCGACCACAGGACAAGGTGCCAGGGCATACTGGGCCCCAGAGGAAGGGCCGGGAAGGAGCTGGCAGAGTTTCCTGGACCTTCCTGGCCCCGGGTCTGGAGGCAGACAGGGAACAGAGGCAGGGAGGTGCTGTGGAAGCAGGGCCTGGCACGAGGGAGGGCCCACAGGACGGACTTGCCGGTCAGTCTTGGCAGCGCTGTCACACCTGTGGGCAAGGCTCTGTCAGAACACGGGAGGAGGGTCCCAGGGCTGGGAGGGGACAGGGCAGGGGGCGTGGCCTCTGGACAGGAGGGCATCCCTGTGCCCAAGGCCCAAACACACACTGGGCCAGACACTAAAATCGGCTGCTGGAAGGTCGGGGTGGGGGGCTCTGCAGAGCTGGGGTGATGCAAGCCAGCTGAGGGCGCAACCAGTGTGCTGAAGATCGGGTCACAGCAGCTTGAGGGCAGGACCAGGACTGTGACCCCCTGGGCCAGTGGGTGTGTGGAGGGGGAGGGCACGAGGAGCGTCCCCAGGCCAGCCCCTCACAACCCTCTCACCTCCACGTCCACGTCCACTCTCATGGAGGGCTCTGCTGGGCTCCCCCGCTGGGTCCTCCTGGCGGCTGCCGACTCCCTCTGCGCCTCCTGATTGGGGCCATCAGGTGGAACCCGGGACTAAGGCCCCCGTTCCCGAGAGGGGGACCCCAGACCCACTCCCGTCGGCTGCTTCTGGCCCATAGACTTCTCCACAGCCCTCCTCACTGTCCCCACTCCTGGAATATCCCCATTACCCTCGGGGCCACCCTGGGTCATTCCACCATGAGAGCCCACCACAAGGGACCTCGGGTGGGGGGGACAGGGTACCTGGGGGTCCTGATCTCCAGAACCCTGGGTCCTGCTGATCCACAGGTTGAGCCGTGATGTCACAACCCCAGAGAGCTTCAAGTTATCCTGCAAAAAGAGGCTTCCGTCTCAGGGTTTGGGGCCACTGGCCACAATAGGGCCTTGGCAGATGCCCTGGCACAGGGTAGGCCTCTGCCTCACTCCCATGTCCATCCAGCATGTGCCACACACACCTGGAAGGCCCCCACCCCTCCCCAGGGAGCCATGTGCACAGCTAAGGAGACGAGCTCAGGGACACACATGGTAACTCAGGTCAGCAGTAGCTTCTGCCAAAATCGGCTTCTCGCACGGCCACGGCCAAGGCTCGGGGTCCAGCCACCTTGGACCTAAGCAGCTGAAGATGCCTGGCTGGGCCCCAGTCCTCACCTTCCTGCTGGAGGCTGGCTCTGCTCGGCTCTGGCCCACCAGCTCCTTCTCAAAGAGGTGACGCTTGCTGGCCACACCCATGGGAGTCACGAAGAACTCGGTGCGGGAGGAGCCCGGACTCTTGACGGATTCCGATCTCTGGGAACAGAGGACACACACCGCTGACCCACGAGGGTGAGGGGCCCGGATCACCCCCACCACATCCTCAGGTACCAGGGCCCCTGCCAGGGCCCCGCCCACCTGCACGGCCGTGTGGTATCGCTCCAGCTTCTCGCCTAACTTGACCGTGCTGGCCGGGAGCCTCACGCTGGCGCTGCAGGACGGGAGGACAGGACCAGACAAGCCGGGTGAGGCCCCCGCCCCTTGGGGAGACCAGGCCTGCCCGCCGAGCCTGAGGAGTGGTGCCCACCCCACCCCACCCCGCCCCACCATTTTGGCAGAGAATATGGCCTCCAACACAGAGTGAGGCTATAAAGACTTGACCACAGTGAAACCCTCCAGACCTCAGAGGCTTCCCTCAACCCCGAGAAGCACCCCACCCAGCGAGACATCCCCAGGAGCAGAAATATCCACCACTCCTCCCCCGTCCCACCCTCCCACCTCCAAAACATCCCCTCAATCTCCCTCCTCCCCATCTTCCCCATCACGACAGTCACCTGCAACCTACTCCCTCTGCCTGCCACCCCCAGCTCTCTCCCCCTGCCACCAGACAGCTCCCACCCCACACAAACCCTCCTGTTCTTCTCGCAAAAAACCCCTCGGGCTGCAGGACGGGGGCCAGACTCCTTGGCACGGCATACAAGGCTATCAGGATCTGGTCCTGTCCCACCCCGCCCCCCCTCCCCATCCCCTTCTTCATGTTTATGTGCCAGCCAACCAGACAACTCCCGCTTTTCACACTCTGTGCCTTTGCACATGCTGTTCCCTCTATTCAAAATGCCATTCCTCCAGTTTTCCATCTGGGAATCTCCCACTAGTTCAAGCCCCCTTCAGATGTCGGGTGCTCTGTGACACGGTCCCCAGCTCGTGCAGGCTGAGCCGCGGCAGCCATCCAGAGCTGCCAGCCCTCAGTCCGTATTCTCCTCCCTGCACCTCCGCACTGGGTGGCTGTCCACCTTTAAAGCTCTGACGTGAGCTGCCCGAGGGCAGCAACTGTGTCTTATTCATCTTTGCACCCCTCGCCACCACCCCACCCCGGGGCCTCGCCCAGGATAAGGGGCCTCAGCAAACGTTAGGGGCAGACGGACGCAACAGGAGTGCGTGCAAGTCCTGACACACGAGCCCAAATGCTGTTCAGATCCTATTTCAGTGTTTTTCAAAACACAGTCCTCAAACTACTTCCACCAACGTTACGGGGCATTGGGGTGGGGGTGGGGGTGGGGCGCTCATTAAACATGCAGATTCCCAGGTGCCCCCAACCTCACCTCAGGCCCCGCTTTCCCTGAACTGTTCATAGTTCCCCCTGGAAGGCCCTCCCCCCACCCCACCCCTGCACCTCAAGACTAACCCCTCCCCTACGGTCGGAACCCCACCACGCCCCGCCTCCTCCAAGCAGCTCTCCCGGGTCCCTCCCCTCCCTGTTCCAGCTCTTCAGGCCTCAGCCCCACATTAGTCCAGTCTCCCCGCAGAGTCTGGAGCCCCGGGCAGGGGCTGCATCTTCCCCCCAACATGCCCTATGGCACAGCCGGGCTCCAGGAGGACAGGTGGCCAGTGCTCAGCAAGCAGCTGAACCCGACCAGCTGGGAGAGTGCCCGAGCCTCCAGGCCCCTGACCTGCGGGTTAAGGTCGTCTCCAGGTTTTCTTTCTGGGAGCTCATCTGAAAAGAGAAGGAAAGGGGCGGGTGAGGGGGAGACCCAGGGCGGCCACGGCCTTCCTCGGGGGAAGGGCTCAGCTCTCAGGACACTTCCTCCTCCTCAGACCCCTGCCCCTCCACCCAGACAAACCTTCACTCAAGGCCCTCTTCTTGTCTGGGAGCCACCTGCTCCCACCCCCAAGGCTGGGTCTTCTCGGGGTACTGCACCACCTGCCGTCCTGTGGGCCTCCCCGCTGCCGGGAGCCCCGCGGGGCAGGACGGGCACTGATCAACATCGGGCCTCCAGCCTCCCCCAGGCCGGCACACAGCAGGGGCACAAAGCACAGGTGGTCAGAAATGACCCAGTGACCAGGGAACTCAGAGTACACACTGGAAAAAGGCCAGAGAAGAGCCCCCAGTCCAACCGGCGGGGGGGCATGAGGAGAGCCCGCTGCCCCTGCCCCTGCCCCTGCCCCCTGAGCAAGCCTCCGGGGTGAGGACAGGGGCCGAGGGCTGGTGTGGGGCCTTGCTGAGTCCCGGCCAGGTGCCCGCAGCTCTGGCCTGCCCACTAGGTGGGGCTGTCACGCTTGTCCACACCCACGCTCCAGGTCGCTAACCTGCTGGCGTTCCTTTCATCCAACCCCCTCTGTTCCTGGCCACCCACGGGGATCCTAAGGCCCTCTGCACCCAGACAGTCTTCCTCCTCCCCACCGATGGCCCCTGTGCTGTAAGGGATGCTGGCCCTCCAGTGGCTTGGAGACAAGGATGCCCAGGGCTCTCACCCGAAAGGAGATGGTCCTGGGGCTGGAGCGTTTGAGGGAGCTGCTGTAGGTGGCCAGGGTGGGCGAGGATGTGTCCACCTCATCTTCCTTGCTGGGGATTTTCACCTGGATGGAGCAGGAGGGGTGTCACACGGGAGGTCTGGGTGGCCCCGAGCCCAAGCTGCCATGGGGACCCCATGTGGCCTGGCTCGTCCCAGGAACTGCAGGAGGAAGAGGGGAGGAAGACAGCCCTGCGCCCTCCTCCGCTGCTTCCTGCCCCTCTGCCTCTGCTGTGGGGATGGCAGACGCAGTCCTGTGGGGCCAGGACACAGGGCAGAGCTTTCTGCGGGAGCTTCTGGAAGGATCCGAGGCTTCCCAAGAGTCCTGGGGTCCTGGGGTCCCAGCCCTGAATGAGGACGTGGCAGGTGCTCCCTGTCACACAGCCGATGTCCCTTTCAGCGGCCAGCAGCCTGCCCCTGCCTCAGTGTCCCCTATCGTGACAGTGGCTGGATGCAGGTAGGAAGAGAAGAAACGGCCGAGGGCAGCCCGAAGATGGGAGGACAGGAGACAGTGCACAGAGGAAAGAGACCAGCAGGCCAGGACTGGAGACGATAGCAGAGGCACAGGAGCGACAGGAACACCCACCTGGACAGTGATTGGCGGGAGGCGGGAAGGCACAGCTGGAGGGCCGGCCGCCCCCTGCTCTCCCAGCTCGGCTGAGGCCCGGGGGCTCTTCTCAGGGAGGGCCCTTCCTCTCCACTCTTTGGTGCTGGACGCGCTGCCCCCAGGGGCCGGCTGCTCCAAGGCTGCCGCCCTCTTGGGGGCCGGCTTTGTCTCTGTGGCTGACGACTTCTCAAAGATCGATGCTTTCTCAGACACCAGTCTCCTCTCTGAGCCTGATGTCTTCCCCGGGCCGGGCGGCTTCTCCAAGACACTTGTTTTTTCTAGAACTGCTTTTTTCTCCATGATGGATCTTTTCTCGGACACAGATGTCTTCTCGGGGCCCGGGGCCTTCTCGGAGATGGAGGTTTCCTCTGAGACCAGTCTCTTTTCAGGCGCTGATGCCGTCTCTGGAATGGAGGACCTCCCCGAAACCTGGCTCTTGTCTGGAACCGGGGTCTTCTCCGAGGCCCCCTGCTTCTCGACTCCCGGCTCCCTGCCCGCCAAGCTCTCCTCCTCCCTGGCCCAGGGGCCCCGCCGTTGCTGGTTCAGCCTCCGGTGAGGCGGCAGCTCCACCTCCTTCTCGGGCGCCTGGGGCTGCTCCTCGTCCAGCCCAGGGCCCGAGCTGTCCTGCCCCTCCTCTGCCTCTAGCTGCGCCCGGAGTGGGGCCTGTGCCACCTCCACCGCCTGCCGCCTCTGCCTACGCTCCTGCCGCGTCCTGAGGATGGCCTGGACGTCCTCCTCCTCATCTTTGGAGGCTGGGGGTGGTGACCTGGCCACCTTTGCTTCCTCTACGCTGGGCAACCTGAGCCAGAAGATGGGAGACGGGGTAGGAGATGGAATCAGAGGACATCAGAGCCGGGAGAGCCCTGGGGGTCCCTGACCCAACGGAGATACCTCCAGGGCCACCAGCGAGGGGGTGAGGACGGAGAGCCCTGCCCCATCACTGAACTAAGGAGCACTTTTATCTGCTCTACATATTGGGCTTCCAAGATATCATCTGAATGAAGCCCACCATCCTTTTTTTTTTTCTTTTTGAGGAAGATTAGCCCTGAGCTAACATCTGCTGCCAATCCTCCTCTTTTTCGCTGAGCAAGACTGGCCCTGAGCTAACATCCATGCCCATCTTCCTCTACTTTATATATGGAACGCCTACCACAGCATGGCGTGCCAAGCGGTGCTATGTCCACACATGGAATCCTAACCGGTGAACCCCGGGGCACCAAAGCGGAACATGCGCACTTAACCACTGCACCACTGGGCCAGCCCCCATCATTCTTTTTTAAAAAGTTTATAAACCTCTGTAAGGTGCAACCATTCCATGTCCAGACCCAAAATACAAAGCCTGATGGAACAGCCACTTTAGACGCGCCAGGCAGTGCAGTCAAAAGGAACAGATGCAATCTCTGACCCTTAGAGCTTAGAGCAAGACCAGAGACACTCAGGGATTGGTCAAAGGTCACACAGCAAATTGGTGGTGCAGCTGGGAGTAGAACCCGAGGCTCCTGATGCATCGTCCTGCTCTCCTGTCGGTTGTGGGGGTGCAGTCGGGACTAGGCACCAGCCTCGGGTGTCAGTGCAGCCCAGGACACACCCCTGTTCTCCCTGTTCTGGGGACCCAAAGGAACATGAGAGGTTGTCCAACCCCACACGCGGTGCTTGGCCTCCAGCAAAACGAGACCCTTTCCTTCATCACCACCCTGCTCTACACGTGATTCGGGGCAAGTTAATTCGCTGTCTGAGCCTCAGTTTCCAAATCTGCAAACTGTGCCTGTCAGGAGGAGAAACGAGCCTCATCCCATGGGAGGGCCCCACCCCGTCCTGATACCCAGGGGACATGCAGTAAATTCCAGACCCTTCTCTTCCTTTCCCTCACAACCCTAAAATCTAGGTGGCAAGGCCAGCCCTGTGGTCCTCCGCTCAGAAGCGAACGGTGGGGCTCCAGCGTTAGGGGGACGCAGCCTGGTTTAATGGCAAGAGCGGAACCACAGAGCCTGAAGGATCCGGAGGAAAATTCAGGCCCTGTCAACCTTTAGGTTTATGAGCTCAGCAAGTCACCTACACACTCTTTGACCCAGTTTCTCCACCTGTAAAATGGGTTAATGATTCCTCTCAGGGATACTGTAAGGATCAAGTGAGTTATGCCCATAAAACGTCCAGCCAAGTAGTGGCTCATGGCTGGTCTCCACAAATAGGAGCAATTATCGTCCTGAAGAGGGTGGAACCTGGCAGGGCTGCGGAGAGGCTGCGGAAGGCCAGGAACCTGAAGGTCATCTGCACGCCCTTCAGCCTCACTCCCTGTGCAGACCGAGCGCGCTGCCCTGGTCTGTCGGGGCGTAAATCCATCCCCACCACCCGGGGGAGGGAACGATGCCTCGCCCACCCCCACCCCCCCGACCAGGGCACCTCTCCACGGCCGGCTGGCCTCCGTTCTGGGTGGGCCTGGGAGCCTCGTCGTCCGTGGTCGAGCTCAGGTGGCGGTGCCGACGCCGGCGCTCACGTTCCTGCTCTTCCTCATCCTCCAGAGTCCACTGTCTGGCCAGGCTGGGGGAAGGGGAGGTCAGTGCAGCCCAGGAAAGCCCAGGGCCCATGCCTGAGCCGGACCCCGAGGGGCCTGGAGCAGAGACCACAGCCCTCCAGGCTGGCCATCCGCAGACGGCCCCAGAGCCCTGAACTGGGCCATGCTGTGAGCGCAGAGCTCACCCCGTACGTCTCAGACCTCACCCAGAGAACAAGATGGAAACTCTCTTGTTAATAACCGTGGACGCTGACGACATGTTGAAACAATAAACTTGGGATATACTGGGGCAAAGGAGATATATTATCAAAATTGATTTTCCCCATTTTACTTTTGCAATGTGTCTACTAGGAAATTTAAAATTTTAAACGTGGCTCACATTGGTGGTTTCTGTTATGTGTCTATTAAATTTCTACTCAAGCTGCCAGGACTCAGGTCAGACCTGAGTTTCTGGACCTCGGCACAGCTGACACTTCGGCCGGATAACTCCATGGGCAGGGCTGTCCCGAACTGCAGGATGTTGACCGGTAACCCCAGGCCTCTACCCGCTGCACGCCAGTAGCACCACCCCCAGTGCGACAACTGAAAATGTGCCCCAACGTTGCCAATGTCCCCTGGGGGCAAAGCCACTCCAGTGAGACCCGCTGGGTGGGAGTACAGCCTGGACTCTGGAGAGGCCATGGGGGCCTCCCTCTCTGGGGGCAACGAGGGACATGGAGGGCGGGTACGGTGCAGCCTGAGGAGGCAGATGAACTCGGCATGTTCCTCTTTCTTTTGCGTCCTGGGATTCTTAATAAAACCCCTCGATGGACAACCACAAAGAAACTTCCTCAGAGTCACTCAGCTCTCATGGGATTTCTCATTTTCAGAGCAGAGACTCGCAAGGAAGGCCAGTTATACCGGGAAAAGATCCCAATGTGTCTTCCCTTCCTTTCCCAGGCTCTTTGAGTCTCTTTCATCTTTGAGAACCAGCTCTCACATGGCAACCCCATGCCCCCTGCTTCCAGTTCCTGCCCCGAGTCATCCTTCATTCAGGGGACCAGCCAGGCACGCCCACAGCAAGCCGACCACTCGCCCACCAGCCCACCATCCACTCCCATCAGCTCATCTACCTACGTAGCCTCCTGGAAATCCACGCGCCCATCCATCCCTCATTTTCCTGCCCATTCCCATCCACCCACCCATCCTCATCCACCTGCCCTCCCATCCTCCCACCCACCTCCCCGCCAGCCTACCTCCCCTCCCGTCCACCCACCCTTCCACCCCAACCAAACAGCAAACATGCGCTGGGCGACCATGATGGGCCAGCAGCAGGTGAGGACCTGCGGGCTCACAGGAGGAAGCAAGGGCCCCACCCTGGAAGCACCTACTGTAGGAAGCTTCCCAGCCACACACACAGATGCCTCTGCAGAGAAAGGATGATTACTGTGGGCCAAGGTGACCAGGCAAGGCCCACGGAAGAGGCTGGATCTCAGGGGGAAACAGGACCTCATAGGGGTGACAGGGGCCTGGGGAGAAACCGCAGTCCAGGCGGAGGGAGGGCTGAGCGAGCCTGGACATCAGAAGACAGGCGCTCATGGGGCGGGGAGGCTGGGCTTCACGGGAGCCGGAGGAGAAGCAGGCAGCAGAGGAGCGGGCTGCAGGGTCAGTGGGCGAGCCCTCTCTGAGCCTACCTATGAGCCCCCCAGTGCTGTCTGTGCCCCAATCGGAAAAGCCTGGAAAACGCCTCCTTCTTGCCTCCCATAATGAAGAGTGTAAGGCCTCTGCCTGCCCAGCAGGTGTCAAACCTGCTCTCCCAGCTTCCCTGCTGCCCAGCCCCGCTCCTCCGGGTGGGCCCTCCCCTCCTGCAAGGAAGCACCATGCAGCTGAGCCTCGATCAGAGGAGCCCTCGTGCAAACCCACACATTTCATAAGCTGAATTGCATATGAAGTGCATCCTAGGAGCTTCCCTAAGAGAAGACCCCTCCAGGTGGTCTTCTGGAGGCCCATCACGGGGTCCACCTGCCACCCTCCCTCCCTCGGGCGGGTCGCGTCCTTCCTCTGCCTCTGTTTGCCTCCCTAGAATGAGGATGAGCCGTCCGAAGGCTCCGATCTTTTTTTCTAGGTCCAACACCACATTTGTTGACGCGACAGTCACTAAACAAATATTTTCGCACGCCGACTCCATGCCAGGCATAGTTAGTGGGGAAGGAGGTGGACGGGGTTCCCCTCTTCCTGGAACACGTGTCCCGGTGGGGGGCTGGACGGGAGCCAGGGGACAGGTGAGTGAACAAAACGATGTCTGGAAGTGACACAAGGACAAGGGAACAGGGTAAGAGGTGATGTGAGGAGGAGACTGGGAGGGGAGGCCTCCCGTAGCTCCAAGAAGAAATTGGAGGAGCCGGATCTGGTGGCAGAGAGTCCAGGAGGAATGAAACAGGGACAAGGCCTGGGTGTGACGGATGAGCTGGCTGTTCAGGAGAAAGGGGGCCGGGGCCAGAGGTGGCCCACAGGGAGGTCAGACAAGGCAAGGCCAGAGCAGAGAGCCTCGAAGACCAGGGGAAGAATTTGGGTTTTTGTGTTTTGTTTTGTTTTGTTTTTGAGGAAGATTAGCCCTGAGCTAACATCTGCCACCAATCCTCCTCTTTTTGCTGAGGAAGACTGGCCCTGAGCTAACATCTGTGCCCATCTTCCTCTACTTTATATGTGGGATGCCTGCCACAGCATGGCTTACCAAGCGGTGCCATGTCTGCACCCGGGATCCAAACCGGTGAACCCCAGGCCACCGAAGCGGAATGTGCGCACTTAACCGCTGAGCCACGGGGCCGGCCCAAGGATTCGGGTTTTATTTGAGTGTGCTGGAGAGCCCCGGACAGTTTTACACAGGGAGTCACATAATAGGATTTATTATTATTTATCTCTCTGGCTACTGGAAAAAGAATTGAAGGAGGCAGGGCGGTGGGAGGAGCACCAGGGGATCTGTCAGGAGGCTCCTACACTCGCCAGGCGAGACCTATGCTGGCTTGAACCGGGTAGAGACAGAGAGATGGGAAAAGTGGGGGAATTGGGACACATTCTGAAGATAGAACTGGTGGGTTTTGCTGATGGACTGGATGAGGATGGGGTTGGGGCGGAGAGAAAGAGAAGAATCCAGGAAAACTCCTCCATCTTTGGCCTGAGCAATTCCTGGTGCTTCGGTGAGTGAGATGGGAAAGATGGGGAGTGGAGGGTCTCCGGTGAGACCAGGATGGCAGTGAAGAGGGGACCAGAAGGGGGGAGTTCTCTTCCTGACTCCTCCTGTGAGGAAAAGACACCGGTCAAGAGCAAAGGAGCCCAAGACACTCAGCTGGGGAGGGTGGAGGAGACCAGGGGGTGCCAGGCAGGCGGGTGAGTGCCAGGATGGAGCGGTGAGCACAGAGGCTCCCGGGCCCCCACAAAGAGCCCTCGGCCGCTGGGGCAGAGCCGGACTGGGCGAGAAAGGGGAGAACGGGGGCAAGAAAGGGGAACTAGTGGCCCCCAACAACTCTGTGAGAAGTCTGACTGAGAAGAAAAGCAGCTGAAGTGGGACAGGAGGAGGCCATGGGCTCAAGGAACGCTCTTTTAATCCAGGCATCCTTTACATCCAACAAACACACAGACCTGAAGTGCTGTTTCTTTTTAAAGACAGGCAGATGAAGGAGAGTGGAGAGGGCATGAGAGGTTTGAGAAGAAAGTGTGAAGTGATCCCGCAGGAACGGAGTAGACCGTGGGGTGGGCATCTCCTTTCTCGAGCATCCACCACGTGCCCCGCACGCCACCAGCACCAGCGAACACGGAATGAGGTGTGAACGTCGCCTTGCTCTCCTCCTCTACGGGAAATCACTAAATCTCCGCCTTGACAAACAAGAGCGTGCAGGGGGAGCAAATCCTGATCTCCCCCCCCACCGCAAGGCAATCTGTCCATCACCCCACAGGCAAGGAGCTGCCTTCGGAAGGGAATCTTCCGGAATCTCCCTGTTCGGACCCTCAGGGCAGCTGTTCCTCCTGCTTCAGCCACCTCGCGGAGGCACACAACCCCTGTAGCTCTGCACGTTGGCAAACTGATCATACATTCACTCATTCACTCATTCATGATGCACGAACCCCAGGCCCTTGGGAGCAGGCCCTGACCCCCGATCTCTCCTCGGCTCCGCTTGTTCAGGCTCAGAAACGCCAGCTTCAGCCAGCTTTCCTGAGGCCACACCTGCAGTCCCTCGTTCTCTGGATGCACCCCCCAGCCCCTACAACACAGTTTGGGACCAGCTCTTGCCCTCCCAAGCCAGGGACCCATCCGCTGGGGAAAGCAGGCCACAAAGCTGGGCGCTCCTCTCCCCACCCCACCGCCGGCCGGGCTGGAGCCGCCAGGATTCCTAGGTCCTGAGCAACCCCATTCCCACAGCCCCTCAGCCCTCGGGGAAGTCATACGGTATGTGACCTGTCAGAGCCTGGGCTCCTCGGAAATGACTCACTCCCCTCACTCCCCTCACTCCCCAGGCTGGTCCTAGCCCCGGGGGTCTCCAGGGCTGGGGCTGCACGGGGTGGGGCCCAGCTGCCCCTGAGCATCCCCAGCTTTATGCCACAACCCCATAGCTCCCCCAAGGGGATGTGGTCCCCCTTGCTGCCCAGGAGGCAGGGGGCTGCCTTCCACCCTGAAACCCTGGCAAACATGAGTCCCAACCCCCCAACCAGGGAAGAGAAATGTTATCTCCAACAATTAAAGAGTTATCGGCCTCTACAGACGGAAGAGGAAACGGATGGACCTGGAGGGGAAGGCGGGACAGAGGTCAGACTCCAGGAGGGACCTCAGCAGGTGCCATGGTTGAAACCCCAATAATGAATAGACAATAATTAAGGAAGTAGAACAGTGCTTAACATTTTGTAGCTCACAAATTATTTGTTGAATATGGCGAATGCTAAATCAATCAATAAAGAAAGAAGTGCTGGCACCTGCTATAATGTAATATAATGCCAGGCACGTCCTAGGTATCTTACAAACGCCATCGACGTGAAGCCTCACCACCACCCTGGGAGGGGAGGTGGGGTCATCCCATTTTGCAGATGAGGAAAGTGAGGCCCAGAGGGGTTAATAACTTTCCCAAGACACCACAGCTAATAAGAAGAGGGAACCAAGATTGCAACCTCGGTCAGCCTCTCCAAAATCATGACCTTAACCACAAGCCCAAATGCCAGCAAAGGACGTCCCCAGAAGGCCCACCCTAAAGCAGAGGGAGACCCCACCTTCTGGGGCACCAGACCGCTGAATGTTCTCAAGAAGGAGCAGGGGAGGCTCTGAGGCTGCGAGATTCCCCACCCAGGACACGCCGGAGCTCAGGGGCAGCCTGGAAGAGCAGAGGTTCGGGGAAACCCAGGGGCCCACACGTTGACCTTTCAAGCTCCAGAGCCAGGACTGGGGCGGAGCCTATCGGCCCCACCATCCAGGGAGTCCCAGCCACTGTCACCAGCTGGTGCCACAGCCCCGGGCAGCTGCCCCAGCACTTCCTCCCTGACAGCCCTCTGCTCCAACTCCTGGCCTTCATCTGGGGACGCACATCCACGTCTCTGTCCCCATGTAGGGCTGCTCTCCTCTCCATCCTGACTCCGCCAACTCCATCCTTAGGAGTGGGGGTTCTCATTTCCCTTGAACAATTCTAGGAGCCATTATGCCCTGCAGATGCCCCCACGGGGCTGTTCCTCCTGAGGCCTAACTCCCATCTACTCTGCAGCAGCTGACGGTGGCGGGGGAGGGAGGAGGAAGCACCCTCACTTTTAAATGTTATGTTTAGCCGTAGAAAGTTTCTTCCCAAATGGAAGTGCCTAGAGGAGCCCTTTATGCGACAGATCAAGGCTCAGCTGCTCTGGATGAAGCAGGTGAACGCCGCCCCAGGAGCATCTGGTGGAACCAGGGGGCTCCAGGAGCAGGATTTGCAAATCCTGGAAGGAAGAGACAGACCGGGGAGCACGGGCCTGGCGCTGGCTGGCTCTGACGGGCTGTGTGACCTTGGGCCAGTCTCCGGCCCCTGAGGGGAGCAGACCTCAGATCCCCTTCTTCACAATGAGAGGTCGCCCCAGGTCCCGGGTCACTGAGGTCCCTTCCAGCCCTGATGGTCCAGGGAGAGGTGTGAGGGGAGCACCCAGGGCAGTGTTGGGAGGCGGCAGGGCTGCTCAGGCCCAGGCAGGAAAATAATTAACCACGGCTGCTCGGGCCCAGGCGCCCTCAGATCCACCCTCACCCCCTGCAGACAGGCCGGGCCCAGCCTCGCCCGTCACCAGGTCAGCCCAGAGAGGAAAGGACAAGGCCACTGACCAGGGCACCCAGCCAACCACCTCACCCCTGCCCCCAGCCCAGGGCCAGGGCATCTGAATTTCCACTTCCTGCATAGGATGGGCAGCCGGCTGGCCCTCAGCTCCCCACCGGGGCCCAGGCTGGGGACGCCTACGTCACACCCTCATCACAGTCCTCCCCAGCCCACGAGGCCCGGTTGACAGTGACTCACAGCCTTTCCCTCCTGCCTGCCGGCCGGGGCTTGTTGTTCACGCAGGGAGCGAGCGGAGCTGAGCCATCCTCTGCCCCAGGTATCCCGTCAGGGAGACTGCTGGCAGCAGCTGCATCTGCCCACGGGACTCCGGGAGAGCAGGACTGGTTCCCCAGCTCTCACCCTGGGCGTCCCGTGGGAGCCCGGCCCCACCCTGTAGCCACAGGAGACCACCTCCACCGGAGCAGTAGACAGGCTGAGCCCAGACTCCACTCCCAATTTCAAAGTTCCAGGGCCCCAGCTGCCTGCCCTCCACACGCCCATATCCACCTAGGCAGGCTGTCAGACGCAGGATCACACATGGCCCCGGACAGGGAGTTCCCGAGGAAGGGGGGCTGGGTGGTAGTTCTAACCCAATGCACCATCCTGAGGTCTTTGTAAACAGACCGAACACACTCGGACCCCAAGACCCCAACTCAGCAATGTAAGAGCCTGCTACCCCCAGGAGCTCTCCTCACTGCATTGGCCATAAACATGTGCCCCCATACACACAGCCACAGGCACAGGTACGCCCATACCTAGGAGCACAGACACTTCCACATCACCCCCAGCACACTGGCCACAGGGCCTTGACCCCCAGCCCCGCCCTCGGCTCAGACCTGCCCTGGGTGTGGCAGGCCAGGTCCCTTTTCCAGAGCACGGAGCTCCCTCGGTTCTTGGGCTTACCTTTTCCCCCTTTTGGATCCCATGGGACCCTCCATGCAGGGGTTAGCGGGCTACTGTGCTTCAGGGCAGTGTTAGGTCTCGGGGGTCTGGGGAGGTGGACCCCCAGCCCAGGGGAAGGAGCTGCCGAGGAGATGAGGTGCCAGAGAAGCTCTGGAGCCGGCCCCGAGGAGGGGCAGGAGGTCCCGGCCGCACCGGGGAGGTGGGAGCACGCAGGGGAAGCAGCAGCCTCATCTAATAGGGAAGGCCTGGGAGGGCGCCCTCTGCACCTGGAGCTGGCCCCAGCCTCACGAAAGGCCTCACGAAATACCCAAACACCCACCTGGGGAGTGGGGCCAAGAGGCCAATTTCTACCTGGCTAGAGCCCATGGGACCAAAGGAGGAGGGGTCCACTTTGGATCCACTGCACCGGCCTCAGCTTCCTTAGGGGCAAGACTTGTGTGCATGGCAGGGGCAGAGGGGTAAGGAGGTGAAGATGCTCATGTGAGCACTTCTGGGGGAGGCGCAGGGAAGTTCCCCGAAGAGTCACCAGGGGTCCCCAACACGACGAGGGGTGCTGCCTCCTGGACCAGCCCCCCCCCCCCCAGCCTTCTCAGACCCTGACAGGATGCCCAGCAGGCAGGGACAATACACCCCATCTCCTGACCCTTTGAGGGACCAGCTCACAAATAGAGAGTGACGCACAGAGAGGGATAGCAATGCCTTGAGGTCACCCAGCCCAGACACCACCCCAAAACGCCACACTCAGAATTGGAGCCCCATCAGTGGGAAGGGACAGTTTCCCTTTGGTACTGTTCTGCTGTCCTGGCTTCTCTGGGAACTTCTCGCTACAACTCTCTACCTAGACACGGGGGCGGGGAGGGAGGGGTCTCTCAGGAAGCAAGACTTGCAGGTAACTCCTGAACACCTCCTCAACCCCTAAACTGTTTCTGACCCCCCACAGGGGGTCACCGGCCAGGAGCTCTCCAGGCCAGGGGCCAGCCTTCCCTAAGCACCCCGTCTGTGGCCTCCGTCCCAAAGGGGAGGAAAGGAAGCCGTGGGGGAGCAGAACAGCACCGGCACCTGAGGGTTGCCCAGCTTGGCTCCAATTCTGCCCCCTCCTCTTCTGCGACCAGGGTCCCAGTTGGGAAGGAGGCCAACCCCAGGGAGAGGCGCCCACCTGGGCCATGGCCCCACCCCCCCGCTGGGCTCACCTGGACAGCGCCGACCAGTCCTTTCTGCTGACGGACATGCTGCAGGAGCCGTGCGCCGCGTGCCTCCTGCTGCGGCCCCACCTGCGCCCTCCCGCGCCAGCCAGGTAGGGTCACGTGGCCGCTGATGTCACCCCGCTCCGATTTGCCAGCCCGGAGCGGCCTCTGGGCTGTGGGCGTCCCAGACGGGTGCACTGGTCTCCGCCCCGGACGGACGGACCTACGGACGCCGGGTCTGCACGGCTGGGCGGCGCCGGGAGTGAGGGCGGAGACGGCTGAGAACCAGTCGGACCTGCTCCCACAGGTGTGGGGCCGGGAGGGGGCGGGCCCCGGGGATGGGGTCAGGCTGAAACCCCAGAGCAGGCGGACGAAAGTGGGAGCACGTACCCTCATCTCGGGTCTGGGACACCCGCCCCCTCCCAGCTTCGAGACCCACCAGCCCGACTCCAGGAGGCCCTGGAGATGAGCTGGGCTGGGCTTCTCGGTTGCTGCACACAAAACGACCAGACACGCCCCACAGAAGGCCAGTCCCTCCCCAGATGAGATTCCTAGACTCAGCTCCACAAACATTTGAATGCCCAGGCACAGAAAACTTAAGGTGTCAAAGGCCCCGTCCTTGCTCGCTGACACCAGACTTTGGGCTGCAGGCGTAGGGTGTGGACAGGGCAGAGGACCCCAGCTCCCCGCACCCCCCCCCCCCAGGAGGAATGAGCTCAGACCACAGGACTGACATTTCCCGACATCCTGAGGCAGCCCAGGCACCACCAGCCCCACCTGGCTCCCTTAAGTGCCATCCAGCTGAGGGGGCCCATCTGGGCCATGGGGGGCCAGGTGCTTTCTGTCCAGGAACCAGCCTCAGATGGGCTGAGGGAGGGTCAGTCGCTGAGCACGGGAAGTCTTATCTTTCCTGATGGAGCAGAACTGCAAGGTCAGCAGCAGCAGCAGCCGTTCTGCTCTGTGAGGAGCGAGGCCTGCAGGTGAGAAGGTGGAGGGAGCCGGAACTGCTGGCATCCGGCTGGCCCCGCTCCCCGCCTGGCCTCCCTGTGACACGGATCCAGGGTTGGTGGTCTGTACTCTGAGGTCCCACAGCAAAGGGCAGCCTGCAAACACACACAGAGCTAGCCTGCTAGGGCCTCTCCTTCTGAAACGTCCCCTCCTCCCGGGAGCCTTCCTTCTTGGCATAGGAGGTAAGGAGTGAGGTTTGAGGAAGGAGTGCTGGATGGGAGCCTGGAGACCTGGCTCTGAGCTCCGTTTCTGCCATTGATAAGCCCTTTGATGGGGAGCCAATCACCTCCGTTTCCTTACCTGTGTCGTGGAAATAATGACATTCTGCCCTGTTTCCCTCCACATCGAGGGGATCAAATGAGCCCACTGTTGAGTATTGGGGACACTGCGGTGAGAGTTGACAAGGCCCCAGAGAGGCCAGAGCCGAGGCCAAGGCAGGACCCTGAGCCACGTGCTTTTCCAGGGAAAGAAGAGAAGGGATGGCAACAATCTGTATCCCGGATTCTCCCACCCAGGCCTGACACTCCCGGGAGCTGCTGCCTCCCTGGGGACCTGGGGAACGTTCTCCGATGGCCCGTTGGTGGTGGCACCACCACAACACAGGAAGAAAAGTACTGCTGGTCATTTGAAACCTGACCTTTCCAGGGACACTCGTGAAGCCAGGGGACAGTCGAACATCTAAAGGTCCAAAATCTACTACCCTCTCTGTGGATATAAAAAGCCAAAAACGTGGAATGTTGGTATGCGGCGACTCTGGAAGTAAGGAAAAGTAAATTACGTGCCTGTCGGTGCCCCCAGAGTCTGCCTGGAGGGCAGGCCGTGTGCGTGGCGCTGTGTCAGTGCGGCAGGTTGCAGGCTGCTGTAACAAAGAGCCACAGACAGGGGCACTTACATGGTGAAATTGATTTTCTCTCAATTCTGGAGGCTCAGAGGCCAACACCAAGCAGTCGGCAGAGCCCTGTTCCTCCACGGGCTCCGCAGGGCATCCTGCTTTGCTCGTTGCAGCTTCTGGGGGTTTTTGGTAGTCCTTGGAGCTCCTTGGCTTGCAAGTGCGTTAGTCCGGTTTCTGCCTTCACGGTCGCGTGGAATTCTCCTTGTGTCTCTGTGTCTGTGTCCAAATTCCCCCTTCTCATAAAGCCCTCAGTCGTCGGAGCAGGGCCCACCCTCGTCCAGTGTGACCTCACTTTAACCTGACTACATCTGCAAAGACCCTATTTCCCGAGAAGTTCACAGGTACCAGGGTTGGGAGTTGAACATATCTTTTTGGTGGGGGGGGGGGGGGGTGGGGGGGGGCACATAATTCTACCCACTACGATCAGCAAATGGCTTTGACATTCAATGACACAAAGATGGTGAGGACTCATTCCTGACCTCAAGACACTCCCTCTCCAGCGATGGAGACACACACGTGCTCGTGCACACACACACGTATATTCACAAGCGTACGTGCCCCCAAGCCTCACTCAAGACAGACTGTGATAAAAGCTGAAATTGTGGCATCTGGAGGGATGGACCCTGATAGAGGGATGGAGAAGGAAAGATCTTTCAAGAGGAAAGATGATCTGGGTTCGGCCTTGATGGTCCAGTGGAATTCAATCGTCGGAAAGGCGGTACGGGCATCCAGCTGCAGGACGCAGCATGAACAGACAGGGGCAAAGACGGAAGGTGTTCACGGGGCAGAGAGACAACTCAACAGCCTGAAACGTCAAAGCTGCCACGGCTAAAGGGAAAGGTTGGGGACAGAGATGAGGGACCTTGTGAGTTGTGTTCAGGAGCTGGCCTTTGTCCTGCAAAAACTGTGGATGTTGAAGAACGTGAGAAGGGTTAATGGCCTTTGTGTGGAGAGGCCCTGAGACTCTGGAGGACAACTCTGGAGACCATGTGGCCAGATGTCAGACTGGAAGTGGGGAGACCACCTGGGGGCTATTTTTTTTTAAGAGACATGAAGGGAGCTTGAGCAAGGGCAGCGGGAGGAGGGGGCGGAGAAGGTGTTGGCAAGAACCTTCGAAGGTTGAATGGTCAGGACTGAGCTGGTGACCATGGCAGTGCAGGGGGGTAGATCTAGGGAACTTGCACCTCCCTGGCTTGAGGGGCCAAGCAAACACAGGTGCCGCTGGTGAGGCTGGGATGCAGGAGGAGGAGGGTGATTAGACCACTGGGGTTTCTCAGCCCCAGCATTATGACACTCCGGGGCTGATAATCCTCCGCGGTGGGGGCTGTCTGTGCATTGGGGGACGGCCAGCAGCATCCTTGGTGTCTACTCATTAGAGTCTAAGGTCCCTGAAGACAGCCAGGAGGAGCTGTGAAACAGATGGCTTGACGTTGGGGTGTGGGAGCCCAGGAGACAGCCTTGCCTGTGTTTTTCACGGCACCCAAGGGAGACCAGAGCAGGCAGGAGGTGGGGGCAGTTCATGAGGGCAGGGGGTTGGCGTGCAAGGTGCCCACGTTCTGACTCAGCGAGTGTCTTGTGGGTGTCTTGAGAAGAGGAAGAACATCTCATTCACCTTGGTAACTCCTCGACACTAGGCTGAGTGTAGTCGGTGGCCCAGCACAGGTTTGAAGAGTTGCACTGACTTGCTTTGGGAAGAACAGGAAACCCCGCATAGCCCAAGAAGCCAGTGTAACATGGGAGGCTGGGGTGGGGAGAAGCCGAGGTCAGGAGGTTCTAAGCGTCCGGACCCTTGGCCTCCAGACTCTGGGAAAACCAGGCTATGGGGCATCAGCAGCCCTCCCAGTGGCTGGTGGGAGGGTACGTGGTTCACCCTGGGAAAGGTGAAGTCATTCTTCTCCACTCCGCAGTCGCAGTGGCCGGGAGAGAAAGTCCCGAAGATGAGCAGCAGAAGAGGCTCGTGAATATTCAAAGCAGCGCTGTTTACAGCAGCGAAAGTCTGGAAACCACCCAAATGTCCATCAGCGGGAGAACGGATGAATAAATAATTTGTGTCGTTTCATCACTTCATAGCAGAGAAAATGAGCTGCCGTTCAATGTATCCACAGGGATGCCTTTTACAACCTTCCCCTGGAATGGCGTGAGTGGGAAAAGGCAGAGAGCCTGGGTGCACGTCAGGTTGACAAAAAGATACAAAAGGAAACAGTGTATCTTGTGGGGATTTGTAAACGTGCAGTCAAGTTACACGGAGACAGAGAATCACACTCAGAGAACCCAGGCTCGTGTTCAGCCTGGTGGTGGGGACGGAGAGGGACACATGGGGACTTTCAGAGAACTGACAACACCACAGTTCTCCAAGTGAGTGGTCGGCAGGCGGGCGTTCAGCTGGTAATTCTTCACGCTGTCCGGGCATTAAGAACGGTAATGACGTGCTGGTCACTTCCTCTGGGGAGAGTCCACGGAGACAGGCTTGTCACCCCGGGAAGCCCCTGGTCAAGGGCAGGGTTTCCAAGACTTCCAGCCAGAGGGGAAGGGGTCCCCTCTTCTGCCCTCCCAAAACAGATGTCAGGCCCTGGTATCCCCCACCCCAACCCCGTCTACACCACACATAGGGCAGCCTCTCCTTCTCCAGAGAGGCCAGAGCAGAGACCAGGGGGATCCCCCGCCCCAGAGCCACGGGGGCGGAAGCCACCCGCTGACGCATCCCTTCCACGCCCGTTCCCGTCCCATTCCGTGCGATGAGCCCACACCGAAAGAATCCAGGAGTGGCTCTCTAGCTCCTGGTTTTTACAAACTCATAACATTTTTTTTTAATGTGAATACCGAAATGGTGTCGTCTCTGGTTTATTTTGTGAAGGAAGAACGTTAAAAAACGATTTCTGCCTACTGTCCTCGCACCCCGTGGGTAAAGGGTGATTTAACACTGAAATGATACGAGCAAGGCATGCCCACTTTGACAACCACCGAGGGCCCTTTCGCTGAATGCCTGCAGGGTTTCTGCCCTGCGAGGGGGAGCAGGTGACGCTTGCGTCACAAAGAGCCAACGGGGAGGATGCGTCTGGGGAGGCTGAGCTGAGGGCACAGAGGCATCTGCCAGGCTCCCGGGCAGGCCAGCCGCCAGCTGTGTGCTGCGTGCACGCACAGGCACACACGCCAGGCTCCCCCTTCAGACAGACAGCCACGAGCACTCATGCACGCACGTTCCTCGCCTGGGGCTGCAGGTTGGAACAGCTGCCCAGGCTCCAGGTGAGGCTGTGCTT